GATTTTCTTGCATTCGAATTGAATAAAACCCCGGAAGTATATTAACTTTATCACAATAAAGAACTGAATTCTTTTTTGATCAGACTGGAGAAGGGATATATGTATTATGTCTTCTACATACTCCTGCATTTATATTTTATTGAAAAAACAATACAGGGTTGTCCATTAATAATGCAGTAAAAAATACTTATTTTCTATTACCAAAGAAATGATGCTTTAATTCAAACTTACAGCGTCTCGCTACAATGTTGTTTTTGCCAAAGGAAGGATGACTAAGAGGAATGGAGTCAAGGTAATGATAATTGTAAACAATATGCTAGAGGCCAGATGGTACCTTCTTCACATCTTTGTCCCAGCAGCAACCTTCCTCTTTCAGCGGACGTAGGTGTCCGCACTGCTTTCATTTCTGACACTTTTGTGGGTGTAAACAAAAGCCCCTGGAGCCGCCACTTTAAAGGACACCTCTCGACAGAGGCAGAAGAAAGTGAGAGACAAACGGCAGACCAAGTCACAGGGTCTAGTTCTCCACCACTCCGCCCTCGGCACCCAGGGGAACAGGGGCTTCTTGGGTTTCACCTTTACGTTCCACAATAAACCCACAGGGCGAGACCCTTCATTCGCCTCCACTAGGCCCACTTCTCTCTCATCCATAGTAACCTATCACTGTACTGTAAGGGGTAACTATGCCCCCCCCCCAAAAAAAAAGAAAAGAAAAAAAGAAGAGAGAACAGCTACCCTAATATATATCCTAATTGAAGTATTTATAATAAATAGTAACAAGGACGATTACTCAGCAAACATAAATAAGAATTATGAAATGAAGGTAAATGTCTTTGTATTCCTATGCATCAAAATGAGAATGAGAATTGCCATTTATATTTGGTTATGTTATGAGGTAATCATGAGAGTTTGATCACACACACACACAAGCACAATATGTATATGCATATGTGTGTATATATGTATATATACACATATAATATACATACATACATGCATATATGTGTATAAATATTCATGTATGTATGTGTATACATATATTATATATATTATATATATATATATATATATATTATATATATATATATAATATGTATACACATATGTATCTATATATATACTATATGAATGTATATATTCCACATATACATAAAAACAGATATATAAATTATATATTATATAATATATATATATATATATATATATATATATATATATGCATGTATATAATATCTATATATATATATAATATATATATATACATATTATAATATTATATATATATATATATATATATATATATAATTATGCATGTATATATATATATAATATATTATATATATATATATATATATATATATATATATTATATATATATATATATATATGCATTATATACACACTATATATACCCACACGTATATATATACGTACGTGTGTGGCGTGTCTATGTCACATACGCACACAAACACATACATTCAAACACATTCACGCCAATCCGCCACGTAGAACCCGGCGCATGGAAGGCTAGACGCGACTTCACAATTTCGTGACGACTTCCTGAGGAATGTCTTTATTCTGATTTTCGCCCGAAGCTTCTCGGGCGAAAGTCAAGAACACTTGCTCCAACGAAGTGTCTGAGGCAGCGTAGTCCTCCACGATTGACTCTTGCGGGTTGGCGACGGGACTGGCGATGGCGTCACTATCTCGGTCGCTGGGTTGCCTGCCACTCTTCAGCGCCTCCATCACGGAGAAGAGTCGCCCCCACGATATCCTAGTCGGGATCCTGTACGACAACATGCCCTGAATGATGCCACAGAATTCCATTAATACACCTTTTAACATGTGGAATCGGACCTATGCACGTGTGGAAAATGGCATGAAGGAGAAGCATACCTTCATGGCGAAGATATTAATTTTCATTCATACTTTCTTCTACATTTGTCACAATTAATTCAGTTCAACCTATGTGCATACTGTTCGTGGAAATTTATAATTACGCATTTCCAGCTTTAATAATCCTTCTTTAGCTCTGGTTTCTTACCTTATGTTGGTCTATAATGACGGCTCCAGGAAGATAGTAACTGATGGAACTCTTTACTTGCTGCACCTTTGATGTGTAGATGTCTTCAGTGTTTGTAGCGCCCTTGGGACATAAGCCATGGGTTCTCAGTTTTATTTGGAGACTGTAACCTTGGCCAAACTTAGCCTTCAAGTGGCTCGTAGTTCCTACACAACGAAGGGTTCCACGAGACATAATAATGATACGAGAACATAGCGCCTCGCACTCCTCCATGGAATGACTGGTGAGGACCACACTCTGGCCGTTGTTGATTGCCTTCGTGACGGCGGTCCACACTCGACGTCGAGATGCTGGGTCGACGCCTGAGGTTGGCTCGTCAAGGAACACCAGCTGCGGCGATCCAACTAGCGCCATGGCAGTGGAGAGTTTCCTGCGGTTTCCTCCCGAATACGTCGAAGAAGGACGCAGCGCACATTCTGTGAGTCCAACCAGAGTCACCAACTCATTAACCAAGCGCTTCATCCGTGCGTCGCTGACTCCTCTTAGTCTGCCCACGAGCGTCAGCATCTCGATGGCTGTTAGTTCGCCTAGAACAGCGTCAAATTGAGGGCAGTATCCTATCTGCTGCACGAACTGTTAATGAGTAAATAAATGGTGTTAAACACTTATGAAGGACATGGTCTTTGGGTCAGTGTAATATGTATACAGAGACATGAGAAGGGAATTATCTGAATGCTGAATGAGGGTAAACAGCATTTCAATGTGTAAATAAAGAACATTAACGTTTGTTACTCACTGGCATAGTGAATTGTATCATTAAGTTGAATTCAATTGTTCAGAATAAAGGCTAATTCATCATACATTCATCAACGGAAACAATATACACAAAGAACGATAGAAGCAATAAAAGAGAATTTACCTTGTTCTTATCCCTGTGAAGTGATATGTTATCTACCATGGCGTCTCCTGAAGAGGGTTCCTTCATCTCCGGTCAAACATCCTGAATGTCGTCGTCTTGCCTGCTCCATTGACCCCCAGGAGGCTAAGCATTCTCCTTTAGCCACGCGCGAAGCTCACGCCACTAACCGCTGGTCGAGGGGCTCCCAGAAACTGCTTCTTCAAGCTGGAGACGAGCAGGGTAGAGTCATCCAACCCACCTGAAAAACAACGTAGATCCGATAAAACGAGGTCTTGTTAAGAAGTTCTACAACTGTGTATTTTTATATAACTTCTAGCTGAGAAGTTCACTCTATGTAGGCCTATTTCACGTTTCCATCTTGCATTTTCTTACCTCCAGCCTGACGCGACTCAAACACATTTCGTACTAAGTCAGCCTCTGCTGCGACGTCGTTGTCCTGTGTTAACTCCCAGGCAGGGGTCGTCTTACTAGCTTTACCTGCGAGCAACGAGTCACTATCCGCCACCATGTACTCCTGTTCACAGTGTTAGCATTAGTATTGTTGATATGAATAGGAAAACTAATAAATACCACTGAATTCTGTATAGACTGTGTGTGATTTCATGAAATAATTTCAATACATGCCTCTAAAAGAACAATATAAAGGATTGTGAAACAGAGTTAGGACTTACTTCAGCATTTTGGCAGCCTTGCTTTCCAATAACACGAGGACTGACAGGAAGATTACACCATTGATGAACAGCGTGAGCAGATTGGGTCCCATGCCGTTGCTATTGAACATGAAGTAAGAGTGTTTTTCAAAGCAGATCCTGTGCCCACCTCTGCACATTGGGCTGTAAAAAAATCATGTTTAGTAGGTATGAAGCAATGAATCGACTTTGAATCTATTTTGAATTCTCATCATTACATAACCATGAAGAGGAGAGAGAGAGAGAGAGAGAGAGAGAGAGAGAGAGAGAGAGAGAGAGAGAGAGAGAAGAGAGAGAAGAGAGAAGAGAGAAAGTTTACGGAAGGCTATTTGCCCTTTCAGATTTGACGAATTACAACTACCACTACTGATTAAATCACCCCAAAAAACTTCATGTGTGTTCCAAAGATTTCCCCCATAAAAATCAACATTACAAACGCTGTCGACTTACGACAACATATCATGTAGCTGTTGTTGGGCAGCATTTGAGTTAGCGTGTTACACAGCTCCTCCTTTACGTCTCATTGAACTGGTCGCACTGGGTGTTGTATGTACTCGTGTCAACCAGGTGCATGAAGGCCTGTAGTGGAAATGTGAATAGCAGTATGTGAACGAGAATACAATGGGTCGACAGAATGGCTTCCTAAGGGACTGAGAGTTATGGATGAATATAGAGAAATTAAAGGGTGTTTTGTGCAAGATGAAACTCTTAATAGTTGTAATTAAACATTTTTTCCCCAAAAGGATATTTCCCCCCAAAACAACAACAAGAAATGCAAATACTTATGGTACCACTGATAATAATGCTAACGAGAGTCACAATAAATAGATATGATAATGATACTTATAAAGATGATAATAATAATACCAATAACAGCAGGCATAAAGAGTAATAATGATGATTAATATGAAAAATACAATTCTTACCATGGAGGCCGGGTATGCTGGGATAAGGGAAGTAACCCAGTGTAGAACATCACTAACAATGATGGTCGGGCTGGTCGGAGAGATCCAGCGCCCAGACGGCAGTCGTGATGATCTCGCCTGAAGAGAATCCAGGTTTTTCATCACAATGTATATATACATATATACGTGTGTGTGTGTTGTGTGTGGTGTGTGTGTGTGTGTGTGTGTGTGTGTGTGTGTGTGTGTGTGTGTGTGTGTGTGTGTGTGTGTGTGTGTGTGTGTTTGGAGAGAGATATTATTTATCACCTCATATTTGTTTCTTTGTATTTCTATATACTTATTACTCTATATTTACCTATCTGTTCCGTAGGCATATTTATATTTAAGATGAAACCCACCTGCGACGATGTTGATGAGAGCCAAAACGGCGAAACCGGAGGCTGCCGTTTGGAAGGGGAAGCTGAAGACATAAGCCATGGGATGCTGCCCCAGCCGTACAACAGTAGTAGCAAGAATAGCGCACCTGAAAGGAAACCGTAGAATATATATATATATTATATATATATATATATATATTATATATATATATAATATATATATATAGACACACGCACACACACACACACAAAACACATATACAGCGATGATGATAATGGTGATAATTGAAGAAAGGAATAATAATAATGATGATAATGATAAGCTTAATAGAAATTATGTCAAATACAATAGCAACAGCAACTACAACAATGATAATAATAATATAATAACAATTTAATAAAAATACTTATGATGATACACATAACAATAATGATACTAATATTAATCAAAGCAACAGCAACAACAACTACAATAATAATGATGCATAACTACTTCTATCACAGATACTAACAGTAGTTACAATACACCTTTCCACGCGCCAAAAGTTAACTAATATTTATCCAGAAAATCGTGAACAAGTTTGTCGTTACCAGGTGCTTGGGCGACGGTGAAATAATCCTTCGAATCCATTATCATGAAGAAGATGAAGACGGCCAGAGCGGACACCGTGTACGTGAGGAGGTCCCACAGGAAGGTCGTGGTCCACAGAGCCCACAGGGGAGCGCCTGTCATGACTTGGACCTGTGTAGGGAAAAGACGTGTTATTCTTGCATCGTACTCCGTCTTTGGATGGTTTTGCTTGTAGAGTAATAGGATAGGGAAGAAGAAGCAGAAACAAGAGAGGAGGCGGAGAAAAAAAAAAAAAAAAAAAAAGACAAGGGGAGGGAGACGTGTGTGTTATTTTTGCATCGTACTCCCGTCTGTGTGTTAGGTTTTGAATGTTTTGCTAATAGACTATAAGGAATAGGGGAAGATGGGGGAGGAGAAGTGTAAAATGAAGGGGGAGGGGGAGGAGAAGAAACAAAAGGCGACGTGTGGGAGACGTGTGTTATTTTGTTTTGTACTCGGTCAGCGTGGTTGGGCTTTTGGTGTGTACTGAGAGGTTTTATGGACGATTTTGTCACTGAAAGAGAGAAAGAGGAAGGGGAAGAAGATGGGGAGAAGAAGCAGATGATGAAAAGAGGAGGAGGAGACGAAGAAAACAAAAGATAAGATGAGGGAGACTCAAGTGTTATTCTGCATCGCAGAAATACACGAGAAGAAGCAGATGATAAAGGAGTACGTCAAGAAGACAAAAGACGGAGTAGAAATAGCAGAAAAAAAAGAAAAACAAGCAGAAAACGAACACGAATAATCGGAATAAAACCAGTATCAAAGATTCCGAATGATCCTTAAAGATAATTGTAGGGTTAGTCAGATCGAACGCACCTGCTTAGCCTTGGTCTCTCGCTCCTCCAGAGGGAACACGAGGAAGGAGGCCGACAGGAAGGCGAGAGCGAGGGGCATCACCATAGCGTAGACGAAGGCACTCCCTGAGGTGCTGGTTCGGCCCACCTTCCACTGCGGTGAAAGAGGACACGCAGTTAGAAAAAGAAAAAGAGGGAAGAGAAAAGGGAAGAAGAAAAAAAAAAAATGCATAGCCAAATCGCCTAACGAGACTTACCGTCCTGTTTGGTGGTAGAGGGCGGTTGACTGTGGTAATTGAGTGGTTAGATGAGTTGGTGGCAAAGCTGAGGAGGGCGTTAGTGACCATGGTGGTACTAACTCCTGGGGCATGGTAAGGCACCGACTGGTACATGGTCTTCATGTTTGTCGTTAGTCCGAAGAGTCCAGCTTCGAAGTCGGCCTAAAGTTTATCACGAAAGGAGGGAGAAGAAATTGTTGATTTAGTGACTGAATCTACGTGTATGTGTTAAATGCGTACGCCTGATATAAAGAGATTTTTTTTACGTGAAAATTCTGAATAAGAATATCCCTACCTTATTTATTACGTGTAAATTTGCTCCGTAGTATGACATCCATGTAATGATTTTTTTTAACGTAATTCGGACTTTTCGCAGATCAATACTATACAGCACCATACATCATAAAACCCATGATAACCAAAGCGAGGAAAGATTTATTAATATTACGATGACTGCAAGAAATGCATAGTAAAGAGGAGAAATGGCATTTGTTGCTTACCGAACAAATGTTATTTTCACGGTACTGGAAAATATCCTTATCTGCTTCAGCTAAGAGTCTGTCAGTCAGGTTGTCTGCGTACTCCACCTGCAAGAGAAAGGTCAGTGTTTATGAACCTGAATTAGACGGAAGGAAATCGTAACTGTTTGTGTACTGTATTTGATTCTATACCATCACATCGCGCGCACCATAAACAGCCACGAATCTGTACTGATGAGCATATATATCTGCGTGTGCGTGCGTATGTGTGTGTGGGTGGATGGGTGTTAAACAGTTTATTTTTACATGATGTACTCAAGAGCTGCAGTCTGTATAGGTATTCAAAAGACGTTACTAGATAGATTCCTGGACAAGAAGACTAACTTCCACACGACTAAACAACCCAAGATGAATAAGACATCCCCCCCCCCCAAAAAAAAAAGGAAATTGGAGAATAAAACCACAGAACATTCTAACCCCCACGCGCAATGATAATTAAGCTCAAATCACTCCCAAACTAAACGGAAACCTCGACCTTGCCTCATACGGATCATAGAAGAGACTTTGGTAAGAGGCAGCGAGATCCTCACGGCCTTGGCCAGCGTGTACGAAGGACTTGCTTTGAGTAAACATTGACAAGTTGAGGACGCGCGGAGGTTCCTGGAAGGTCTCCTCGTTGAAGGAAGCGTCGACCAAGAGGCACATGATGGTGATTAGTACTGGAAGGAGACCCTGCAATGGACACAAGATAACGTACTGCTATACAATATACTGTATTGGTTATTCAAATCATTCTTTACTTTTTATTAAAAGAAAAGTAAAAAGAAATGATTTATTTTTCATTTTATATATATATCTTCCCTCCCCGGCTATATATTGTTACGTTTATAAATCTGAATATGTTAAGTGTTAAAGGAGGCCGTTACACCCACCGTCAAATCTTAATATGTCGCAAAGGAAGAGAGAGAATGTTACAAAAGGGTTAATGTGTCATATTTCGGAGTCGCTTTATTTCGGAACGATTCATATATCAGCTGGTTAAAAGGACAAAAACGAGGAGAAAAATGAGAAAAAAAGAGAAGGTGAAGGAGAAGAAAGAGGAGAATGAGAAAAAGAAGGTCAAGGAGAAGGAGGAGAAGAAAGAAAATGGAAATGAGAATACAAAAATAAAAATAAAAGTAAGAATGAGAATGAGAACAAGAATAAGATTAAGAATGATAATGATAATGAGATGAAAACAAAATAAAGTAAGAATAAAAGTAAGAGGAGAGGGAGAGGGAAGAAAAGAAATAGTATTACTAGTAGAAAACACAGAAGACGAAGGTGAATAAAATAAAAGACCTGACGAAATACCTGTGTAAGAAGGAGAACCCATTTCCTCTTGGAATAAATCATCCTTTTGGCGAAAAACGCTCTTATTCTCTGCTTCAATAACGCCCATCCTGTCAGCCTCATGTCCACTTCTGAGGATGCATCATCAAGCGTGGATTAACGAAATACATTCTAATGAATGCAAAATTATGTCTGTGGACTGCAAATTCTGTCGACATACCTAGCTTAGAATGAATCTCGTCAATATATACATTTTGCTTTTGAATCAGAAACAGACAGCATGTAAATATCCTCAATATACAGACACACACACAAACACACACCTTTGCTTCTGAAACACACGCACCTACTCGTGTGGAATTCATGTCAACCAAATTACGAAAAGAACAACGAAGGGAAGAACAAGAAAAGCGCACGAATATACCACCTCATTCGTGCACATTCGCGTGTTTTCTTGTCCTTCCCTTCGTTGTTCCTTTCGCATTCACCGACCAGCCTAACCCAATCCATACCTGCTTGACTGTTGAAAAGAAAGCGCTGACTACTGTATCCATTAGCGCCCTGCTGGTGGTTGCCGAGGAACCCGTTGTTGGCGTCGTCGTTAATGTTAATCTTGTCGTAGAGTGTTCCGTTCAGCCCTTGCGACGACTCTTTGTCAGCGCCCTCAGCGAAGTCACCCACTCTGGACACCCAAGGCAAGAGAAGATGGTTGAGTAATTGTGTATTGTGTAAAAGTGATTTTTGTTTACGTTTTTTTATTCTTTCTTTCTTTTTCTAGTGTCTTACTTTTTGCGTCCTTAACTATTCATTGATCTTATTTATTTATCCATATGGTGCCATATTTGGCTAAGTCCTTATTCATTCATTTATCTATTCATTTATTAGCTTGCCTTTTTATTTCTTTATTAATTAAATTCATTTATTTATCCATAGTACATTACTTGTTTACATTTTTATTCATTTCTTATCTGTTTATTTAGTACTTTGTTTACTTTATTCATTTCTTATCTGTTTATTTAGTACTTTGTTTACATCTTTATTCATTTCTTATGTTTATTTAGTACTTTGTTTACATCTTTATTAATTTCTTCTGTTTATTTAGTACTTTGTTTACATCTTTATTAATTTCTTATGTTTATTTAGTACCGTAATTACATCTTTCTTTATTCATGTATCTATTCAACTATTTATCTGTTACTTGTTTACGTCTTTATTAATCCATTCATTTATCTATTTATAAAACTTATCACAACGTTCCGGCCACAGGTTCGACGCGGGTTAGAACGTACCTTAAGAAGACCTGCTCCATGCTGGTGAGCGATAGGCCTAGATGTCTGATTCCCATTTTCTCTTTCTGTTCCGTGAGCGAGTCGAGAAGAGGGGCGAAGGAGGCTGTCATCGGGGGGAGTTTAAAGGTCACTTCACCCCCCTGAGATGACCTCAGGGCCGCTTCAGGAAGGTGCTTCATGACCTCTGTCTGTATGTCCTTAATGCTGCTGTCCTCTGAGACCATTATTGTCAGTGTGTATCCATCACCTGTGGAAAGGGCATATATATATATTTATTTATACGTCTGTATCTATATCTTTCTATCTATCTATCTATCCTGATATATGTACATGTTTTATCTATCTATCCTGATTTTCTTTTCTTTTTTTATGGAGTTATGGATCGCTAATCGTTAAAATCCCCCGTATGCTAGAAATCCAGACTTCATATTTTCCATTTGGATTAAAATACGTAAGGAAACAAGGCGAGGAAGCGAACCTAATCCTCGTCCTCAACGTGTCTCACCGAATTTGTTTTTGAGGAAGAGCGTGGATCCGGAGCAGACGACCCTGCCCGACGCCATGATGGCTATGCGGTCGCCCAGCACGTCGGCCTCTTCCATGTGGTGTGTGGTGACGAGGACGGTCCGGCGCCCACGTTCCCTTGCACCACTTCCCACACCCATCGTCGGGACTCCGGGTCGAGGCCGCTGCTCGGCTCGTCGAGAATCACCACCTGGAGCCGAAATAAAGCTCGGTTGAGGGGTGTTCACACTGCTGGCTTCAAGTTGTTTCATCAGTATAAGTTTGGGATATTTTGCGTATCAGTACCTGTGTGTGTGCTAGTTTGGGTGTATGTATGTGAACGTAATGTATGATTCCTGATGTCCTTTTCCCAAAATCCATTCTATCGTTTTGCTCTTTTCCGAAAAAAAGTGTGCATATAACTGGTTCTCCTTAACATACCAACTGGACATGCGGACGCAGCCTATTCATTCATCTCTCCCAAAATACAATCATCACATCCCTGCCATTAAAAAGCTTAGCTGTTGCTAAGGCGGAATCCCAGTCGTCGAGCCTCACCTTCGAGCCTCCGATGAGAGCAATGGCGAGGCAAAGCTTCCTCTTCATGCCTCCGGACAGCTGGTTACCAAACATGTTCTTCTTCTCCTTCAGTTCCAGGCGTTGCATGAGCTCCTCGGCTTCCTTGCGAGCGTCTTTCGTTGTCATTCCTTTCAACTGTAACATAGGAGTGGGAGGACTTTTATAAAAGGAGATGTTATGATATCAGGAGTCGAATATAATGATGGTGGTAAAGACCGTTGGAGGGAGACTGTTTGAAAGTATTGATATCTTTATTTACGCTCAATGGAGACCTTTTCGTCAACATAGATCATTTATTCACTCACTCTACCGAAGAAGAGGAGATGCTGGAGGACTGTGAGGTCAATGAACAGCATATTGTGTTGTGGGCACAGTCCGATCTCCTCCCTCGCCTTCTTCAGGTTGGTGGCGATGTCCCAGCCGCCCACTTCTGCGTAGCCAGCCGAAGGGGCGTACACACCTGGAAGAAGAGGAGCCCGAACGTATTATTTATCTATTTTTTTCTATCAAATCATCGACGTTATACCATTCATTAAATTTCCTGTAACGGTGTCCCAAGAAACAAATGAGGGGCTAGACCTGTGAGGACGGACATCGTAGTGGTCTTGCCAGCGCCGTTGTGCCCCAGCAAGACCGTGCATTGGCCTTCGTAACACGTCAGAGACACGTCCTCGACAGCCACCTTCGTCTTCCCTCCTAGTGTCTTAAACTCCTTCCTGAAATGCATGTCATTATGCGATTCAGTTTTCCTTTACTTTACGGAGTATTTTTCTTGGGCTTAGAGTTGTGGCGTCGCGTTGATGCTGTGCTCTGATCAAATTAAGATATTACCTAAATATGTTTCATAATGTCATAATATACTCGTTTAAGATGTAGAATTCTGTTGGTAACAATTTTTCCCGTGTTGGTGACAAAGTATTTGTACTTCTAGGCAAAAAAATGTAGCAAATCTGCGTAATAATTTCTCAACCAAATATAATTATCTGTCTCTTCTGACAAAGAAATTCCAATATCTTTTCGACATCAGTTCTATCACGGCAACATCCAAAAGACAATAGTACCGTAATTTCTTTATAGTGATTCCCGGCTTGAGACCGTCCGGTTCCTCCTCGAAGTACTCGTTCTCCGATGACTCAGAGCCGAAGCCTCGAGAGTGATCCTCTGTCGTAGACGCACCACACCAGTAGCTCCTCTGCATGAGAGATGGGGAAGGATGAGTCGATTGAATAATCACAAAACAGTAAGTAATTCGAGAAAAATAGAGAGAAAGGGAAAACAAAGAAGTGATTTGAGAGAAGGTAGAACAAGGACGCATTTTGAGGGAAAGGAAAACTTTACTTTAGTACTTTACACGTACTAACGAAGATAGATAGATAGATAGATAGATAGATAGATAGAAAGATAGATAGATAGATAGATAGATAGATAGATAGATAGATAGATAGATAGATAGATAGAATAGAAGAGAGAGAGAGAGAGAGAGAGAGAGAAAACGAAAAGATCTGAGCACTAACCTGGAAAGGGAAGTACCATGGCAAGGGAACTCCATATTTGCCCGGGCTGACGTGATCGACGTACCATGTGATGAAAAGGTACAAAATGGTATCGACGGCCAGCATGATGAGGACCATAGCCGGAGTCAGCTGATCTCGGGGTTGCCGGTGTCCCACAGGCGGCTCCACTGCACGCCCAACGCTGCAGGAAGGAGGGTCGTTAAAGCCACACAATGACCCAATAAGGCCCAAAGTAGCCTGTTCCCCGTTGGAGTGAGATTAAAACAACTAATATATGACGTTCTAAAAAAAAAAAAAAAAAAAAAAAAAATACACCAACACATGGTGCATCACCGCCACTACAACCACCACCACCGCCACCACCATCATCCTTACATCCACCTGCTCCTCTCGAATCCCTTAGTCTCTTCCACACATCCCCTCACTTCCCCGACTGATTTCGCAAGATGCTTACATCTCCCTTCAAACATAGCGATAATCCTGAAGGCCCAGGTGATGGCCATGTTGGGTAAGAAGCAGGACAGGATCTTCGGCGCCAGACCAAGGTCGTTGTACTCGAAGTCCATCAGCTGACGAGGCAGGAAGTAGGATACCAGCCACAGCAGGATGCCCAAGGTTGTGGCGAGCGTGGCTGAGGGAGAGAAAGAGAGGGTGAGTGAGGGAGAAAGAGGGATAACGGAGGGTAAGTGAGAAAAAGAGGAAATAGAAGGAAAGGAAGAGTAAGATTTGAAGAAGAAAAGAAGAGGATACAGAAAAGAAGAAAAATAAAAAGAAAAAAAAAAACGAACGAAAATAAAGAAAACAAGAAAAAAATAGAATGAAAAGGAAAAATGAAAAAAAGAAAGAGAAAAAAACAAGATATATAAAAAAATCAAACTCAAACCAAAAAAGCAACACATACACCAAACCCCAAAACGAAACAACTCACGCCGGCTGAAGAACGTCGACAACAGCGAAGCAGAAGGCGATGGATGACACGCCATAAGAGCACGAAGAGCACCCACATGAAGAAGGGATCCGTGTGGATGATAATGGGCGGCAGAAAACCCGACGTGTCATCCATGGGCGTGAGTTCCAACTTGAGTAGAATCGTCATGATGGTTGAGACGACAAGGATGATGATGAAGGAATGCAGGAACCAACCGAACCAGACCAGCCATCTTTCTAAGCCCATGAGACGAATCAGTTCCTGCGATTGGGGGCGAGGACGGGGATTAGGAGGTGGAAGAAAGGAAGGAGAATGAAGAAAGGAAGAAGAAGGATTAGGAGACGGAAGAAACGAAGGAGAAGGATTGGGAAGAGGAAGAGAGGAAGGAAAAAGATTAGGAGACGGAAGAAGGAAGGGAAGGATTAGGAGGAAGATTGGAAGGGGAAGGATTGAGAGAACAGGGATTAGGTGACGGAAGAAAGGAAGGAGAAGGATTGGGAGAAGGGAGGATTAGGAGAAGGAAGTAAGGAAGAAGAAGGATTGGGAGAAGGAAGAAAAGGAGAAGAGGGATTAGGAATAAACGAAGAAAGAGGAGGAAGAAGGAAGAGAGAAGGAGAACGAGGATTAAGAAAAGGAAGAAAGAGAGAACGAAAAGGAAGAAGGAGGATGAAAGAAGAAAGAAGGAGAAAATCCAATCAGTTTTTGCGATTGGGAGGCGGGGGCAAGAGAACGGATTAGGAAAAAGAAAGAAAGGAGGAAAAGGGAGAAAGGAAGAAGAGAACGGGGATCAAGAGAAGGAAGGAAGGAAGAAGAAAGGAAGAAGAAAACGGGATCAAGAGAAGGAAGGAAGGAAGGAGAAAGAACGAGGGTGAGACTAGAAGAAAGAAGAAAGCCAAATCAGGATTAAAAGAAGGAAGGAAGAAAGGAGAAAGAGGAGGAAGAAGGAAGAGTGAATAAAGATGATTAGGAGATGGAAGAAGGAGAAGGAAGAAGAACAGGGAGGAAAGGAGAAAAAGGAAGAGTGAGGATTAAGAGAAGGAAGAACGAAGACAGGAGGAGAAATGAAAAGGAGGAAGAAAGAAAAGGGAATTAAGAGGATTGGGAGAAGGAAGAATACAGGAGAAGAAGGAGGAAGAAGGAGAAAGAGGAGGAAGAAGGAAGAGGGAATAAAGAGGATTAGGAGAAGGAAGAAGAAAGAAGGAGAAGAAGGAAGAAATGAGGGAGAGGAGAAAGAAGGAAGAAGGAATAAAGAGGATTAGGAGAAGGAAGAAGGAAGAAAGGAGAAGAAGGGGAAAAAGGAGAAAGAGGAAGAGCGAGAACTAGGAAATGAAGGAAGGAAGGAGGAAAAATGAGGATGAAATGAGAAGAGAGAGGGAGAAAGAGGAATCAGTTCCTATTTTTGGGACGCGAAGAAGGATTGTGAATTAGGAAGAAAAGGAATAGGAAGAAGGAAGAAGGAGAAAAAAGGGAGAACGGGTATAAGATCAGAAGAAATAAGATATAAGAGAGAAGAAGGAAAAACGAGAACGAAGAGAAAAGAAAGAAAGAAAAGAAAATGAAGAATGAGGATGGATTGAGAAGAAGGAAGAGCGAAGAATAAAAAAAAGAAAGAGGGAGAACGAGGATGAAAGGAGAAGAAAGGAGAATAATGAAGAGAGAAGAAAGATGAGGATAAAATGGGAAGAACGAAGAAAAATGAAGAGAGAGCAAGAACGAAGAAAGGTAATTAACGAGAATGAAATTAAGAGAAAAGAAAACAAGAAAGAAAGAAGAACGAGAATTTAATCTTGTTATACTTGAAATCAGAGCAAAAAATACCTTGAAATTGACTTGGGAAATACGCAGATTAGAATCATCACAATCGGGAGATAAGAAACACCGAGAGAATTAAATAAGAGGGACCAGCGGCGTGCAGAGGGGGAGGGGGGTGTAGGCGGCATCCAAACGGGTAGGGAAAGGTCGGGGGGGGGGGGTCCAATCAGCAAGGGAAATGATTTCGAAATTTCTAAATCGAATGAAGTGTTTATTTTTCGTGTTTTATCCTTGTTTGACATATTCAAAATATCTCTCTTTCTCATGATATTTCTTTAGGCCTTAAACTTGTCTTTGAGGCATGCAGTCATGGAATTGGTCCCGGGCATCAAAAGACCTTTGCACGTCACTGCAAGGGATCCCTAGTGTAAAATATTTGCTGATAAAGCCTGTATCTTATCTAGAAAACAAAAATAAATGAATTATGATTCACACAAATGCACAAAAAAACTACGTAAAAAAGATACGTTGATACAATTTAATCGTTTCGATCACAACTTATGAAGTAATCCTTTGATATAAAAAAAATATATAAGCATAATTGACAAATAAATACCTTGCCCTAATTTCATTTAATCTGATAAAATTATAAAATGCCGATACCATACCTGCAAGAAGAAGTTAACGAAAACAGCAAATAGATAATGATAATAATTCTCAAACAAACAATAATCATAATAATAGTAAATAATGAAATCTAATAACAATAATAATGATGATAATAACAACAATAATATTCATAATATAAATAATGAAAGATCCAGGGTGGATAGCGCTATGTTGTCAATATTATCTGGGACGAAACAAAATAACAATAGTAGTTAAAAAGAAATAATAATAATAAAAATAAAATCATAATTCCCAAACCGACAACTCACCCTCACGCCCGTTTCCTTCTCGTAAACAACACTTTTGATGAGCGACGGCGACAGGAGGACGAGAGACAGTACGACGAAGGTGGGCAAAGCGGACCCATAGAACTGGCTCATTCCGTAGTCCTGGGTGTAGGGTGGGTACGGGTACATCTGAGTGTATAGCTGTGAGAGGAGAATGGAGTAGGAGTTAGATGCAGGTAAGGTTCTCGAGAGGAAATGGCGAATGAGGATGGTGGTGGTGGTGGTGGTGAATGATGGTGATGATGAAAATGATGTTGGTGATGATGATGATGCAAATGATGTTGATAATGATGATGGTGGTGTTGGTGTTGGTGGTAGTGATGATGATGAGGATGATAATGATAATAGTAATGATGATGATAATGATAATGATAATGATGATGATGATGATGATGATGATGATGATGATGATTATGATGATGATGATGATGATGATGATGATTATGATGATAGATGATGATGAAAATGTTAATGATAGTGATAATGATGATGATAATGATAATCATGGTAATAATAATAATAATCATGGAAAAAGAACGAAATAAAAATGAAATCAACGGTTCTCGAAAGGAAATACGAACGATGATAACCATGGAGTAAAGATCGAAATAAAAATAGAATGAAAGTATAGACGAATAAGAAGTGTTCTAGATTATTTCAACAAGATAATCATCACAAAGTGCTATGTATAGAATTCAATGACAAATGAATAACAAACAAACCAACACAAATAGGTCTACTTACCCTGTACTGCATTCTGTACTGAGGCTCCCCCGTCACCTGGGAGATGTAATATCTGTCCACCAAGCTCTGGATCAGCGTGAATCCGTCCATGCCGTAGCTTTCAGTAAGAACTGGCCAAGAAAAGAATGTAAAGGAAAAAGAATAAGAGAAAAGAAAAGAAAAAAATTATATGTATTTTTCATATAGTTCATATATCTCTATATATGTATTATATGATATCTGTAGTTTCTTTGTAATGAAAAAAAGAAAATCAGAGGAGGAGAAGAAAATATGTAAGTAAAAGACTAAGACTAAGAGCCTACAATCTGCATCAATCACTAGTAAAAACATGTACCGTAAATTCCTACTAAATCACTTAAGGAATACATGCATAATGGTATACTAAACTCATGATTCTTGTTATATATCGTGAATAAAGCAGATTTAGTGAGTAAGGATACGAGGTAGTATGTTCAAAGCATTAAAAAAACAGCACCAACCAAAATAACTGAATTACTTGTAAAATCTCTCGGTCCAGGGATCTGCAGAAAGGGGTAGAGCAGGTCAGTGAACCACAACCCCGCCAATCTGAGGTCATACTTCAGGTGTTGAGGTGGCACTTCCGTGTCGTTGAGATCGTTGAAGAAGAGGCCGATGTAGAAGGCCGCAAAGGAGTCGTTGGTGGCGAAGTACGACTTGTCAACCTGCGTGTCTAAGTCCTCGTTGCTGGTCACGGGGGTCAGCACTGCAGGCGACAAGGCGAGGGAGAGGAGACTCATTCAGTCTTACACATTCGTGTGTCTCCATATGAATATATAGTTATGTGCAGCGGTTTATATATATGGCACGTATCACGACTAATAAGAATGGCTAATCAGAGAGCGCGTTCAGGTGAAATAAATCGGACTAACATTGATGAACCAAATATCTATTGCTAATAACGACAACGTTAACAAATTAGAGAACTCGAAAGCGAGGTTTCCTGAGACCCACCGTGATGACCGAGACGGAGAACATCGGCCAAATACTCGGCTACGCCCCTGCTAAAGCCTCCAGGTGGACCGTAGAAGATCTTCCTCTCTCCCGGATAACTGAAGTTCGAGCCGTCGGGAAATTCCGGCAGCGAAATATTGGATAGAAGAGACCCCAATATGCCCAATATTTCTGCCGGTCCCATGCCTTCGAAGGAAGTATCATTGAATCTCTCCAATATGCAAGGATCCAGGTTTTCCAAGATCGACTGAGTGATCTCCAGGTTTATACTCTCCGGGTCCATCTGGTTCACGTTTTCCAGTATCGTCAAAATGCTCTCGGGGTCGGAAAGGTCAGCCTCGGTCAAGTTTAGACCTTCCAGACCGTCTATGACCGAAGGAGCCAGCGTAGGTAGCGTTATGTCGTCAATGTTATCTGGGACAAAACACCGTCGTAGTTCCTCTGACCAAAAACCGTATTTCGTGCAAAGCTCTTTTTTGAGGACACATTCCGAGGCCGTTCTGAATTCGACGCTCTGCCGGAACAAAAGGAGGAAATGTAGTTGTTATTGTTGTCATCATTGTCGTCATCAACTTTATCCTCATTATTTTTGTTATCAGTTTTGTTTATTGATACTATTACTAGTACTACTATCACTACTATTACTACTGCGACTACTGCTACTACTAGTTGTAATACTGCTGTTAGTATTACTACCATTACTATTATCATTATTATTATCATGATAATAATGATGATGAGTATAATAATGATGAGTATAATAATGATGATGATACTGATGATGAAGATAATAGTAATAATGATAATAGTAAGAACAATGATGATGAAAATGATAATGATAATAATTATGATAATGATAATAATAATAATAACAATAATTATAACAATAATAATAGTAATATAGACCATTGTAATGATAATGATACAATGATGCTCATAATGCCAATAATGATAATAATGATAATGATCATGATAACAGTGATAGTAGGAATGATGAAAATAATGATGGTGATAATAATGATAATGATGGTAATGGCAATGATAATGATGATAATAAATATAATAATATTGATAATAGAAATAATAATAATGATAGTGACAGTAATGGTAATAATAGTAAAAAAAAAAAAAATAAAATAATAATAATAATAATAATAGTAATAATGATAATTATGGCAATAGTAATAGTAATGATAATGATGATAAGAATACTGATAACAATAATGGTGATAATGATTATAATAATGATAATATAATGATAATAATAGTAATAGTAATAACAGCAACAACATCAGCCATGATAATGCTAATGATAAGAATGATAAAAATTGTAATAATGATGATAAAGCTGATAACAATGATAATGATAATAAAAAGATAGTGATAATAAAGCTGATTATAATGATAGTGATAATAAAAAAGATGATAAAAATAACATCAATGATAATAATAATGATAATGATGGTGATGATAATAAAGATAATGATAATAAATGATGATAATAACAATGATAAATGATAATAATAATAATGATACTGATAAAAATAATGATAGTGATAATAATTAAGATAATAATGATAACGATGATAATAACAGCAATAATGATAATGATATGAGTAATGACGATAATAATCAGGATAATTTGGACAATAATAACTATATCATCAATATTATAGATGATAATACTAAGGATAATAGTAAGAAGAATGATTATGATATTAATAATTACCTAAATAATGACGATAATAATAATGATAATAATATTGGTAATGATAATGAAAATAATGATAATAATGATAATGATAATTATAACAATAGTAAAGATAATAATAATGATAATGATGCAAAATTATAATAATAACAATAACGATAAGAATGATGATGATAATGATAATAATAGTGGTGATAATAATAATAATAATAATAATAATAATAATGATAATAATAATAATAATAATAATATTGATAATAATGATAATAATAACAATAATAATAATGATAATGATAATGAAAATAATGATAATAGTAATAATGATAATAATAATAGCAATAATAATGATGATAATCATAATAATAGTAATGATAATAATAATGATAGTAATAATAATAATGATAATGATGATAGGGATGATGATGATAATAATAATAACAGCAACAACAACAACAACAACAACAACAAAAAAATAATAATAATAATGATAATAATAATAATAATAATAATAATAATGATAATAATGATTATGGTAGAAGTTATAATAATGATAAGTGATAATAATGATAAAAATGATGCTGATAATAATGATCAGAATCATTATGATACAATAATGATAATAGTAATGACAATGATAATGAT